TAAGTTTTAGCCAAATCAATATAATTGGTAGTTGCATGAATTTTAAAATGAAACGGGGTGATATTTACAGGGTTAAGTGTGAGCAATTCGATAAATGATGAGTTGCTAATACTAACATTTGTATGGGGAGTTTCGAAAAATGATAAAGCATTTGTTATTGCATTGCCAGAATCGCGATCAATCTTCTGATGAGTGGACATTTTTATTTAATAAAGACCGAATGTATCTATTTTTTGACGTTTCCTTTTTGTGGTATCTGAGGGATGTTTACCAATAATGAGTTGATGACTTTTTTGCCTTGAAAATTTTGGATGAGGTCTAACTTTTCTTTTGAGACCTTTTATACTACCTCTGGCTCGTAATCCGGTTCCAAATTGTTTTGGTAATCCTCCTTTCTCAAGTAATCTGTCCAATCCTCGTTTTCCTTCACTTATAACTGTTTGCTTAAAATTAGTATTAGAATCTTCACTCCCATATTCAGGATTCCCAACACTTTCTAGAATTCTTCCACCGGTATCCAATGCTTCTTTTGCTACAGCTGTACCCGCACGTTTTGCATAAGGTAAAAGGAAACGCCAAAAATTTCTGAGTACGTCTCCAACCCCGCCACCCGCTTGTCTCCCATATCCACGTTGATAGGGATTAAGTCCACGAAAATAGTAATAATTTTCATCAGCGCCTCCACCTGTTTGGCTGACAGGTGCATGATGGTCGTCGTAACCGACTGTTCTTGGGTCAAAAGGAATATGAACCATGTTTAGTTTAGAAAGTTAGGTTATATTAATTAAATTTATGTAATAAGAATTGAATTTTAAAGTTTACAGCAATTATAAAATGGATATAATTAAAATAATTAATGATGTTTAAAAATTTTAACGATTTATTATAGTAAAAGACGAGAAATATAGGTTGAAAAAATAAATATTAGAGAAAATATAAAGATGATCTTTTAAGAATTGGTATTTTGAAGGTTGGCGTTTTGTGACATGACGAATTGAGAGATGGCATTTTGTCGCTGTGACATTTTTTCATTTTTACATTTCGAAATTAACTCCCCCTTACATTCTGACAGCCTATCATGATTCGAAATGCATTCCAAAATTTCGAAATTTTTACATAATTCCATTATTTTTAAATTTTACAATTTTTTAAAATTGCCGCAATCAAACAATAAAGGAGAAAATTTTACTTTAAAGGAGTTTTATTTTTTATTTTTCCCGCAAATGACCTTGGGAGGGGAAAACGTCAATATCTCTATTTTCCCCTTATTTTTTAATTTTTTGTTTAATGTTTTTTTGTTTTTCCTTTACTTGTACCCTCACATCAGAGACAAAGGTTTGTCAAATCATTAGGTTTCCTTTTGTTTTCCCGCAAGTTTCTCCCAAATTTCCCACTGGTACATGTGGGAAAGGGAGAAATTAATAGCGGAAACTTGTACAAGAAAAGGTTTCCTTTTGATAGGTTTCCTTTAGATTTACCGCCAATTAATAGCTGGAACATTTGGGACAACAGAGAAATTTAGTTACAGTTAACTTCCCCCACTTCCCCCCTTTGATCACCTTCATCCACCCGCAAATTTGCTTGTACTTGTACAAGCAAAGGTTTCCTTTTGTTTTACCGCCAGTTCCTCTCAAATTTTCCACTGGAACATGTGGGACATGAGTGAAATTTAATAGCGGCAAAATTCTACCCCCTTCCCCTTTGTTCATCTCCTTTCAGCCGCAGAATTGCTTGTACTTGTTGTCAAGGTCACCCAACACCCATCGGTCCCACTGGGACGGATGGGAGATGAAAACCCCTTACACCTTAACACATCCCCCTGCCCCCGTCTCACATGTCCAAGTGAGACATGTGGGCGTATGGGGGGGGTTTACTACTGCTTATATTGTGAACAACAGCGACCCAAACCGGATCTTCCGCATCAAAATCCGGAAAATCCTATTTTTATCAAAATACCCGGATTTCAGACAAATGATCCGGAAAATCGGAATCCGATCCGGGTCCGAACATTATTTCCAAATACCGCTGATTAGGAAAATTTTATGTTTAGAAAAATTTGGAATTTTAAATTTAATTTAAATATTTTAACAAACTAAAAACTCTAAATCCATATTTTTCTTTGTCAATCAAATATTTTGGAATAATTAAAATTTGTATTTTTTCTTTATAATATTGTAGGATTTCTAATTCCTCCTTAGACATATTTTTAAAATTTTTTGTTACACATTTTTCCTCCTCCTCCCTCTCAATGTTAACAATAAAGTGAAAATGATACAAAACATCAAAATTGCTATTACTTAATCCAGCAATTAGATATTTTCCTATATTTTTAAATTTTATACAAATTACTATAAAACTTGTTTCTTCCCCTTTTACATTTAAATACCATTTTAATTTCTTTAATAAATCTTTTCCATTATTGTTCTCTATTGGGTTTATTGGCTCGAAATTTAACTTAGAATTGAATAGAGGTATGATTGTTACCATTGTCTGTAATATTATTTTAAATGTTTTCAGATTTAAAAATACGCATATAATTACATACGCATATATATAATATACTACTAAAAAATACTATTTTTTAATTTGATGAAATTTCAACAAAATGTTTATCAAAAAAAACAAATTTTACAAAGCAAAAAAACAAATGTTTGAAAAATAGATTTTCAGATCTGCCCGGAAATCGGCTATAGATTTTTAATTTATAATGAAAGAAATTCATTCCGGAAATGTCGTGAAACATAAAAATCATGAAGGATCACATCCAGTTCGAAAGTACTATGTTAATAAATTCGTTTAATTTCCACAATGTTAATTGCTAAAATGTTAATCTTGCATAAGATCGAGAATTTAATTTTTGGATTAGATTTGTTAGAAAGTTGGTATTTTGTTGTTGAATAGGTCCCGCCTAAATGTTCTTCAATCTTCTCAGCTCTTCTATTTAAATCAGTAAAAGGAATATCAAAATTATTTAATTCAACATTAGCCACCATTTTTACGCATTCAGTTGACGTTTCAATAAACTAAAATCGCAAGAAAAAATTAAAATATTTAAAAATAAATTTTATCCTAATTTGACTTGTTTGAAAAACTCAGTAAATTCAAAAGTAAGCAAAAACTTACAGTTAAGACAATATCAAAAAGTTTTTGTAAGGTATTAGACCTTAAGCAGACACAGTTGTAATTGTTTCCATTCATTAAAATTTTAAATAAAATATCTGCATATTTTTCAGCATCTTTATTATCATCAAGATCAATCATAAGAGATTTACTAATAATCAAATGATTCAATACAAATTTAAAATAATCTTTAGTGTTGTAAAAGATATAGAGCCAAGACGTTTGAATATAAAATTGTTTAGGAGTTCGTCCAAATAATAATTGAATCAATTCTGGATTGAAGATAAAATCTTCAAAGTCCCCACATTTAAAAAAACATTTAAATAATTTATTTAAATAATAATAAATAATTCTCATGTCCTCTTTATTCTCGATAATGGTTGGTAGTTGTAGTATACTAAGACGGGATGTACCGTCGTAAACTAAAAGTTTTTTTAATTAAAAAACATTTAAACATTTCGGGCGGTCTAAACAAAAACCCCAAGCTTAACAGAAAAGGTAAGCTATTGATATGCCCGCACACTTTCGTTATTTTAACATTTGTGTGTAGTGGTTTTAGCGGATGCCTAATTTCCTTCGTTCGAACCAAACTAATCCACCTTTTCTTGAATATTTTCCAACTTTTAATAAACAAAACTTTACCTTTATTTAAGAAAATAGAAATTCCGTCCGAATTTTCATCAGGTAAATACAAAGGAATTGGGTTTTCTATTCCATTTCTTAACTAAAAAAAGGAAATTTTAACTATTGAATATTTTAATCACCTTTTCAAGCTGTTCATTCAATGGAAAGTCAAAATTTTCAGTTTCGAGTCTAATTAATTTATGAGAAAGTCCTTTACATCTATCAAAATAATCCTTAAAGAATTTTTAAAAATTTAAATTAACTAAAATACATTACAATATCTATTTTATAAAATTTCTCCCGAGCAAGTTCCCCTTCATATTTATTAATAAATTCACGAAAATATAAATTTGTTTGTTTGATTAAACATAATTCCTCATAATTGAGACATTTAAAAATATCAATTTGGACTTCAATTGGCAAGGAAAACATTTTTTGACAAAATTATTTAAGTACTAAAGATTAATCGGAAAAATAATTAAAAACCCATAATGTATTAAATAAAACGTGATTTAAAATATTTAAAAATAAAGTGACTGGTTTAACATGTAAAAAAAGAGATGAAGATAAATTTTATAAAACAAAATTAATTTAATCGAAAGTCAATGAAATTTTTTTTAATAATTTGTTGTCAATAGAATCAAACAAATTTTCTTTTTCGCCTTCTCAACTTTGATTCTATATTTTCTTAATTTCAATGCAAAAAATCGTTCCATTCTTTCGTTGTTTATTGCAAAATGCAAATTTTATCTTTGGATTGTAAACATTGGCAATTTGATAATTTGTACTAAATTGTTTTTTTCTTTAGTTGCTTAATCTCAACATTTTCTGCTCTCTCATTTAATTTAAAATCTGGAGAAGGAAAACAAGCAAAAATAATGACAGGCACCATTTTTGAACAGTCTTCAGATGTTGTTAGTATATACTAAAATTTAAACCAATTTTTAACTCTGTATTTTTGGTATCAAGGCTGGTCCCCAATATACCATTCGAAAGAGCTGTTCGAGCTGGGTAGATTGATATTATGATTGGTTAGATTTAACAATTCTTAACAAAATTATGAAGCTGAATCCTCGATGGACATGCTTTTTGTGATGTTGAAATGGATTAAAATAAATGCTCATAACTATGTTGATTTAAAACAGATTTCGATTATTTTAGTGCTTTTCGAATGTATATAATTATTCATAAAAAATGAAAAAAATAAAACAAGCAAAATATGTAAGGGACCAGCCTTGGTATTGCCGTATTTTTAATCAACTACATACTTTCATAATTTGATCATAAAGATCTAATTTAACATATTTTAAACAAATTTTTGGAAATTTATGTCCATCATTTATTAAAATATCAAATAAAATATCTGTGCGTTGTTCTGTAAAGTCAATATCCAAATTGATGCAAATAAATTCGGAAATAGACAAATAATTTAAAGAAAATTTCAAAACAATTTCGAATGTTGTATTATTAGCCGATAAAATTAATTCATTAACGTTAAATTGAGGAGGAATTGTGTTGTCGTTATCAAATAAAATATTAATCATTTCTGGATTAAATAAATTTCCATCAAAACAAACACGGTCATAAGCACAATTAAAAAGTTGTTCTAACCAGCAACGAATTTCTATCATTTCGTCAATATTTTTTGGAAAGTTTGGCAAATTTAAAAGATTCTTTTTGTCCAATAAATAGGAAATTTCTTCAATTCTAACAAAAATAGTTCTTTCAGACTTGGAACTATTTAAAGACAACGGAATTGATTTGTCTATCGCTTTTTGCCACTGAAAAATTGAAAGTAATTAAATTAAAAATTAATTTAACCTTCTCTTTAAGTTGATCAGTTAAAGTAAATTCAAAAGTCCCTGATTGAGGATCGAAGAATTTATCTGGTGACAATCGATTATCGTTAAGGCTAATTTTTATTAATGAAAGATGTCTAAATTTCTTTCGTGCCAATTCCCCCTCATATTTATTAATTAAATTGAGAAAGTAAAAATTGGTTAATTTAAGAGAAAATAATTCATTAAAATTAAGACATTTTAATACATCAAGCTGTACTTCTTGTGGTAAAGAATGCATTTTTAATTATCTAAAAAATATGAAAAAATTCCGTTAAAAGATGATTTTAAAATATATTTAGAATAAATTAAAGGCAAATATGTAAATGTTTGAGAAATAAATTTTTGCCTTTATAAGGTCACCTCGTCTTTTTTAGTTCACATTGCCTAATTACATAGAATTAGTGTTTTAGGAAAAAATTTCTTTTTAATAAATGTTAATTTTTAAAAAATATTGGGATTGGTAGATCTAAATCGACATATAAAGTTGAGAACAAAGTAAATTTAACTTTTTTAGAGCAGATTATATTTGAATTCAACTTATTATAATAATGGGAAGAGAAGGGCAAAGAAATTAAAAAGGAAAATACATATTAAAAACGAAAGGTACATAAATAAATAAATAAAATATATCAACATTTATGTCATTCAAATAAAATTTAAGAAAATTTATCCAAAAATTTATTTAAATGAATACTATTAAATGCAATAAGAAATGGACAATCAAAAATGTGATAAGGGTGATTGAAAGTGTTAATCACGAAGATGGAAAATTGAATTTGACAAGTAATATGCAACACAAATTTTTTTAAATCTTTTAGGTGATCGATTTTTCAATTCCGAATATACATCGATAGAATGGGAATTGTGCTTTGAGATGAAATACTTTGGTAAGTAATCAATTAACACCAGGGCCTAGTTATGTACCCGGCTTACAAGGAACCATCGTTTACTGTGACTGCGAATTAGATATATTTTTCGGTACCATTCGATAGAGGACCCGACTTAATACTGTAGCGCTAATTAGTTTAGGCCTAGTTATGGCCGTTCAAAGTTTCAGTCCTTAGGAGTTCTTCGAACGTACGTAGTTTTATAACCGAAAATTTTGGGTTAGGAAAAAATAACAATCCCTATTAAAATAAATATTTATCGATAGACATTAACACAATGTCGGAGTCCAAAAATCTTAATACTTAATAAAAAATTGATGTTAGGTACCTATTTTCCTTTCCTTCTTAAACTTATTTTCTTATAATTTAGTGGAACGTAGTCGGCTAGTTAATAGTCGAGGGTAAGTGACGCATTTATTCGCAAGACGGGCGCCGACTAGGTCTGATTATATTTGTCATTCTACCCAGCTCGATGAGTTCTTTTGAATTAGATATAATCTGACCTAGGCTGATCGTTGTCTAGCAAATAAATGAGCGACTACTTTAGCATTCCCCGGCATACGAACTATCGCTCTTATGCTATCTGGCTTCGCCAAATTGGACCTAATGGCACAAATAATCTCGTAAATACTCAATACCGAATTTATGCCACTCAAGACGATACGAATAAAGAAATATCAAGGTCACTAATATTTTATTTAAAATCCTTTAAATAATTAAGCTCAACTTACGGTCTTGAGTTTCAAGAAAAATTGGGATATTCTCAAATTGATAATGTGTGTGATTTAATTAGTTCTGATGGTATGTTTGATATTCACTTCTAGAACATTATAAGTCTAATTTTAGGTAGCTTGTATTTAAATTGTGATGTCGAAGTTGACTGTTATAATTCTACTGATAGCTTGAAAAATATTTATAATAATATGTTGGAAGGGGAAATATTCACAGATTGTGTTATTAAGGTGGAATTATTTAATAAAAAAATAAATTTTATTATAATTTTATTTTTTAAGATTGGTGAAGATTCTATAAAAACACATCGTTGTATTTTGGCAAGTAATAGTAAAGTATTTCAAAAAATGTTCGAGCATGATGGAATGATTGAAGCTCAAAATGTAAGCAAAAATATAGTTAAACCAGCATGATAGAGGGCATGGGGGGGGGGGCGAATATTACCAAAATATCGTCCATATCAGTGTTTGGAAGCTCTTAACAAAATTCGTACCCGTACCTGTGTACAAAAAACGTGTAAGAGAAAATAAATTAAGACAAGTACAAGCAGGAGCAAATTCGGTAATAGTGTCGTTTCCAGTCCCCCTTTTTTCCTCCTCAATTTTTTACCTTATGTTTGTACGGAATGGTCAAATTTTCCCCTTTCTTCCATCAAATTTGCCTTCTATATTTTGCCTAAAAACAACCAAAAAGATTAATTTTTTATTCAGTTCTTTCACAAGGATAAAAATGAGACATACTTTATTAAATATCACAAATTAATCTTTTTGATTGTTTTTAGGCAAAATATAGAAAAACAAATTTGATGGAAGGAAGAGGAAGATTTGACCATTCCGTACAAACCAGGGCTGGGCGAAATCAAAAAATAAAATGCGAAATGCGAAACTTTTTTTAAAAAAATAAAAAGCGAAATGCGAAATGCGAAACTTTTCGCGCCAAAAAATGCGAATACTGTAGCGCTAATTAGTTTAGGCCTAGTTATGGCCGTTCAAAGTTTCAGTCCTTAGGAGTTCTTCGAACGTACGTAGTTTTATAACCGAAAATTTTGGGTTAGGAAAAAATAACAATCCCTATTAAAATAAATATTTATCGATAGACATTAACACAATGTCGGAGTCCAAAAATCTTAATACTTAATAAAAAATTGATGTTAGGTACCTATTTTCCTTTCCTTCTTAAACTTATTTTCTTATAATTTAGTGGAACGTAGTCGGCTAGTTAATAGTCGAGGGTAAGTGACGCATTTATTCGCAAGACGGGCGCCGACTAGGTCTGATTATATTTGTCATTCTACCCAGCTCGATGAGTTCTTTTGAATTAGATATAATCTGACCTAGGCTGATCGTTGTCTAGCAAATAAATGAGCGACTACTTTAGCATTCCCCGGCATACGAACTATCGCTCTTATGCTATCTGGCTTCGCCAAATTGGACCTAATGGCACAAATAATCTCGTAAATACTCAATACCGAATTTATGCCACTCAAGACGATACGAATAAAGAAATATCAAGGTCACTAATATTTTATTTAAAATCCTTTAAATAATTAAGCTCAACTTACGGTCTTGAGTTTCAAGAAAAATTGGGATATTCTCAAATTGATAATGTGTGTGATTTAATTAGTTCTGATGGTATGTTTGATATTCACTTCTAGAACATTATAAGTCTAATTTTAGGTAGCTTGTATTTAAATTGTGATGTCGAAGTTGACTGTTATAATTCTACTGATAGCTTGAAAAATATTTATAATAATATGTTGGAAGGGGAAATATTCACAGATTGTGTTATTAAGGTGGAATTATTTAATAAAAAAATAAATTTTATTATAATTTTATTTTTTAAGATTGGTGAAGATTCTATAAAAACACATCGTTGTATTTTGGCAAGTAATAGTAAAGTATTTCAAAAAATGTTCGAGCATGATGGAATGATTGAAGCTCAAAATGTAAGCAAAAATATAGTTAAACCAGCATGATAGAGGGCATGGGGGGGGGGCGAATATTACCAAAATATCGTCCATATCAGTGTTTGGAAGCTCTTAACAAAATTCGTACCCGTACCTGTGTACAAAAAACGTGTAAGAGAAAATAAATTAAGACAAGTACAAGCAGGAGCAAATTCGGTAATAGTGTCGTTTCCAGTCCCCCTTTTTTCCTCCCCAATTTTTTACCCTATGTTTGTACCAGGGCTGGGCTTTGCTTTCGCTTTCGCTTTCGCATCTTTCGCATTTTTCGCATTTTTTGGCGCGAAAAGTTTCGCATTTCGCATTTCGCATTTTGGTCCAAATGCGAAATTTGTTTCGCATTTTTCATTTAGTATTTCTTTATTTTTTAGATATTTTGACGTAAAATTTTTTAAAGGAAAAGGGAAGAAATATCAATAATCTATCCCAATTTTACTTTTGTTGGTCGATGGTGGAGTGGCTAAGTTGATTGAATACGTTCACTTTGGTGTAATTTGGGGCTGGGTTCGAATCCAGATGTAGGAAATAAGACTTAAACAATTTTTCCTTCCAAAAATAAATGTTTTTAAACTTTGATTTTGATTTTAAATCTGTAAATTTATTTTTTTATATGTCAAACCTGAAAAACATTAAAAATTTTAATTTAGTAACGAATTTTCCAAATTTTCGCCTGCTGCGCAGAAAATAAAAGTAATTGACTCAAGGACTCTGAAATTCTCAAAATTTTCGCCTGCGGCGCAAAAAATGGAAAACGAGTAGAGCAATTTTCATATTCTAAATAAGTTGAGCGGGATCGGGATCCCGACCTAAAATCGGGATTGGGATTTTGGACTAACGACCCTGATCCCGGTCCCGGCTACGGGAGCAGGATTGGTCGAAATCGGGATCTGGATTTGAAATAATGACCCCGATCCCGAATTGGAACCTGTAATGCCCCGAACCTGCAATGCTTTTTCGATATTCGGGACATTATCTCGATTGACAGGCAGTTCCATGAATAGAGTGAGGTATCTTTCGACTCAGCTCGCCGAGGCAAATCGAATGTTATGTGTTTCTTATCGAAATTTTGCTTCCAGTATACTATACCATGTCCAAAATTTTTCTAGAATTTTTAACTAATTTCGCTTTCGCTTTCGCATCTTTCGCATTTTTCGCATTTTTTGGCGCGAAAAGTTTCGCATTTCGCATTTCGCTTTTTATTTTTTTAAAAAAAGTTTCGCATTTCGCATTTTATTTTTTGATTTCGCCCAGCCCTGGTTTGTACGGAATGGTCAAATCTTCCTCTTCCTTCCATCAAATTTGTTTTTCTATATTTTGCCTAAAAACAATCAAAAAGATTAATTTGTGATATTTAATAAAGTATGTCTCATTTTTATCCTTGTGAAAGAACTGAATAAAAAATTAATCTTTTTGGTTGTTTTTAGGCAAAATATAGAAGGCAAATTTGATGGAAGAAAGGGGAAAATTTGACCATTCCGTACAAACATAAGGTAAAAAATTGAGGAGGAAAAAAGGGGGACTGGAAACGACACTATTACCGCAAATTCACAAAAACTTGCAATAAATGACAATGAAATTTAATAATAAATTTAGGGTGATTAATCTTCTTTACTCTAAGAAATTAAATGAATTTATTTTATTTAGGGTGAGATTATAATTTCTGGGTACTACTGAAGAAAAGGGTGCTTTTTCTGCGGACTTATTTTGCGGACTTTTCCTTTCTTTCTTTTTTAATGTTTTGGTTCTTTTGCTTGTAGCGAGTTTTGCTTGTAGCAACTAAACTGTCAAAGGATTAATTTTTATGCCAATTTGAAAAATATGTGTTCACCATTAATTTGAACATTATAAACGATGATGAATGAATTTCAACTATGGATCACTGATCTCGGAATGCTTCATAGAAAAAGAATATGTGATTGTGGATCAAAATGCGGGTAATTTCAAACCTTGTCCCCCCCCCTCCATTATTTTTATTACCTAAGATTGTACAAAATGGTCAGATTTCCTTCTTCCTCTCTTTCCTCTATTTGAGCTTGGCATATCAAACCAGAAACATTGTTAAAGAGAATAATAAAATTAATTGAGTTGTTCAATATTGAGTTCAATTTTTTTTCAGTTGTTAAATTAGTTTTAAATATAAGTAAGAATGTAATGTTTTTACACAGAAATTCATAATGTTATAGACTAAATCAATTTTATTTAATTCTTTTTTTGTTTTAACATCGTTTTCGGAGGCAAAAAATAAGTGTATGACTATAAAATTAATCTTCTCTTTATCAATGTCTCTTGTTTGAATATGCCACAGGGCAAATAGAGGAAGGAGGGGAAGAAGAAAATTTGACCTTTATGTACAATCTTAGGTAAGAAAAATAATAGGGTGGAGGGCCTTTGACAGTTAGTTGCTACAAGTAAAACATGTAAAGGAAAGGAAAAGTCCGCAAAATAAGTCCGCAGAAAAAGCACCCTTTTCTTCAGTAGTACCAATTTCTGATTTTGGTCCTGAATGTGTTGATGTAATGTTGAAGTTTTTCTATACAGGCAAAATTACAAAAAGTATTTTTATTTGAAAATATTTTATTAACTCGCTATAATTTTTAAAGGCGCCTTGGAAAATCATGTTGAAGATATTTTTGCTATAGCTCACAAATATCAAGTGGAATTGTTGAAATATGAATGCGAAATGTTTATGTCTAACTTAATTGGTAGGGAATAGAGCTTTATATATTTATGAGAAGAAAAATATAAGACCTAAATTATTAAAAAAATTTGAATTACAATTGTAAACCTGAATACAAGGTTACAAAACTAAATTTGGAATAGACTAGAATTTCAAAAATAAACTTAAAATGCAAAAGATAAACTAGAATTGTAAAACTCCTTATATTTTCAGATGATGAAAAATTTTTAAAATATTGTGATATTATTGATTTATACGAGGCTCCAACCTTGGAAAGGGTAGAAATTTTACAAATAATCTTAAATTATTAATTTAAAGGGTTGTAAAATTTATGTTCGTATCAACAAAGATCGTTTTTTAATTAGCGAAGTATGGAAGGAAGTTGAAAATAAATATCCATATTTGAGTATTCGATTTTTGAAATCTGTCATTTTTGATGTTAAAAAGTAACTGATTGTTGGACAATTTTTTTTTAATTTTTTTCAAATTTTATAAATTAAAAAAATGATTAAAAAATAAATTCATTTGACCAATTTAAAATCTGATAAAGAAACTTTATCATGTATTGTTGGAAAAAAGGTAGCAAAAATATATGTTTATCAAAAAGTCAGATTAAATGTGATATGCATTCCAATAATAGGTTTTTCTGATCCGCCCAGAAATAGATTTTTGGATTTTTAACTCATACTGGAAAAGATTTGGTTAGAACAATAAATTCAAGAAATGATGGAAAAAATAAAGATCTGGGCGGATCCAGTCAAATTCAGAAAAGTAAATAATTAAATTATCAAAAAAAGATTTAACAATAAATCTGTTTAATTTCTATTATTGTGTATTCAGTAATAAAATAGCAAATTTAATCTCTGGATTGAATTTGTTGGAAAGTTTGTATATTGTTGATATTAAATGACCTCTTTCACGTTCCTCCCCAATTTTTTTAGCTCCTTGATTTAAAGCATTAAAAGGAGTTAAATGATTCTTTAATTCAATATTAGCCACCATTTTTTAAAAAACTTTTGCCGTTTTAATATGCTAAAATTGAAAGGAAAAAATAAAAATGATTTAGGTCCTTTAAAAAATTTCTGCTGTCGAAAAATTGCGATTGACTGAAAATCGAAGAACTGCTTAACGGATACACCCCACGGTACGCAAAGATGTGCGCCTTGACGGGCTAAATTGAACCAAACCAAAGCGTCCCGGATTCTACAATTTTGAACTAAATTATAGGCTGCTGTAACTTGGCCAGCTCCCCTGCTTAACTAACCAAATAAATTAAACCAGTCTGAACTAAAATATAAAAGTAAGCACAAAAACTTACATCTATAATACGATCAAAAATTTCTTGCAGATTAATACATTTTAAACAAACTTCATTAAACTTGTCTCCATTCATTAAAATTTTAAATAAAATATCTGTATATTTTGTTGCGTCCTTATCTAGAGGAAAATTAATTGTTAGAGTTCCACTAATAATTAGATGATTCAAAATAAATTGAAATTTATCCCCAATAACATAATCCATAAACAGCCAAGAGTTTTGAATATAAAATTGTTTAGGAACATTTCCAAATAATAATTGAATCAATTTAGGATTGAGTATAAATCCTCTAAAGTTGCCTTCTTCAAAATAACAATTAAATAATTTATTTAAATAATAATAAATAATTTTGAGGTCTGTTTTATCTTTGATAAAGTTTGGTAGTTGTAGAAGATGACATTCAGTTTCATATACTGAAAAAATTAATTTAAAGAAAGCATTGACACTTTTTAGACTATCTGAATAGAAATTTACTTATTGAAAAATTTAAAAGTAACAAAAAGAAAAGTAACAGAAGTATGGGCCAATACAATTCACCGAAAGGAATTTCCGTGAATTGTTGAACACAAATCTTACTGCTGTGGACAGGAGTGTTAATTAGTGTTGCCGTTTTCAAGTCGGGCCGACTTTCGAGTCATTTTTTTTCGGGCCGGCTCGACAGTGTTTTTCGGGCCAAAATTCGATGCCCGACTCAATCTTTTGGACCGGGCCGGCAATCAAAAAGTTCTATAAAATTAACTTAACCTTTAGACAAACAAATAACAATATTGTCTGCCTTTCGTGGTACTAAATACAAAGGAATTTGCGTTTCTCGTCTGTTTCTCCACTAAAAAAGAGAACAAATCTCCAAAATATTTTAATTTAATTACATACCTTCTCTTCAAGTTCTTCATTCAATGGAAAGTGCAAAAAATTTTTAGCTTTGGGTTCAATTAATTTAGAGTAAGGACCTTTTTTGAATCGATCGACATCCTTGTAAAAGGATTTTTTAAAAATTAAATTTAGAAATATTACAATAGAAATTCCATAGAATTTCTCCCGAGCAAGTTCCTCTTCATAATTATTAATAAAATCACAAAAATATAAATGCATATGTTTGATTGAATATAATTTTTCATAACTGAGGAATTTAAAAATATCAAGTTGAACTTCACGTGGTAGAGAAAACATTTTTGAAAATTTAATAAAAGCAATAAGAATTACATGAAAGCTAAAATAGTTAAAAAGTACGAAAAATTATTTAAAAATAAGACAAAATTAAAATAAGAATCAAAGATATGATTTTAAAAATTATTGCTATTGTTGATATTTACAAGTTTGGGATTGGGATATACATAAGTGAGCTGCCAAAACAACGGTTAGTCATAAACCCTCTTAAGAAATTTCGCTAAATAGATATAAAAAAGACTGAAAATGCATAAATTGATAGATAAAAATGATTTAAAGTTTAATTTTTGGAAATTTAAAGAAAAATGAATGGCAAATGAATATCAAAAATAATTTTTCAGTTATAAAGTCAGTTTGTTATTCTCATTGACTACTATTTACATAATTCTTCGCCTTTAAATAACTATGCGTATGATTTTTGCCTTGCAGAAGGGATCTACTATTGTACCGTTTCTTCTGAATTTTAAAAATTTCTCATAAGGATTATTTCTAATTCCCTATAATTTAAAAATTGTTATTTAGGCAAAAATTTTAAAACAGGCTCATTCAATGTAATTTGGCAATGAGATGAAAAAAACTGCATTCAACGACAATAATTCTCTTTCCTAAGTTCATTTTTGTTTTAGATTCCCAAAACTTTATTTGAATTATTACCTAAAAAATTTTTTTTTAATATTTTTAAATTTCCAGTGCTTTATTTAAATTTTCAAATCATTTATCAATTTCTGAATCATTTGACATCAATTTAGATTATGTTGGTAATACAAGCCAATATTTGGATGTTTTATTCAATATTTTAACAAATGTTGGCAATAAAATACCAAAAATTCGTTTAAGAAGTTTTGAGTTAACACAACTTTATGAGCGTATTGTAGATGTAAGTTTATAAAAAATACTTAAAAATAAATTTGAATTTAGTATATAATTACATCTAAAGACTGTTCTAAAATTGTGCCTTTTATTATTCTAAATTCTACTTCCTCCCCAAATTTTAAATTAAACGAAAGAGCAGAAAATGTTGAAATTACTCAATCCTATTATGTAAAATATACAACTTTCCAACTTGCCAATAAATATAATCTAATCGATCCCATATTGTAAAAATAGATGATCATTTCTCTGAACCATTTCTGCCAAAAACAGGTGTTCCCCAAGGGACTGTATTAGGACCATTGCTGTTCCTGATATATATAAATGACTTACCCAAACATATCCCAAAAAACATAAAAGTAAAATTATATGCAGATGACTTTAAGCTCTATTCGGAAATTAATACAGAAAAAGATTGTATAGAGCTCCAAGGAGCTATAAACAATGCATATAGATGGGCAAAAAATAATAGACTGGACTTCTCTATCTCAAAGGTTAAGGTTTTAAAAATATACAACAAAATTAAGTATAACTATGAGATTAACGGTGACAAAATCGAAGAAGTTAATAACATAAGAGATTTAGGAGTATACATAGATAACAAACTTAAATTTGACCAACATGTAGCAAAAATCACTAAATCCTCATTTATAAGGCTAAATAATATTCTAAGAATATTACCTAAAACATTACCAATAGATACATATGTAAAGGCATTTAAAACATACGTAAGGCCAATTATGGAGTATTCCACTGAAAATCCCTTCTAATAAAAAAAAAATTAGAAGGGAAAAAAGCGTTCTCCCTATAAAATCCGTTTTCATATGAAATTTTTTCTATCAATTACATAGAAATACAAATCCACTGATATCCCCTTTAATCGCTAAAACCCTCAATATCTGCCAAAATTTTTCAATATTCCCTTTAATTCGTTCAAATACCATGTTTAAACAATACATCTCTGATCTGGAGCCCAGATCCCCCTATAAATTTTCTGATATCCCGTCTAATCACACAAATCCCACAATATCTTTTTTAATCCCTTCTAATTTGACTTTTGAGTTGCAAAAACAACTTTTATTCCTGCAAATTACACTCATGAAGGCTTCAGTTTTGGAAATAAAAATTTTTTCCGATTTCCGGCGTTTTTTTTTTCTTCCGATTTCCGAAAAAATTTTCATTTCCGAGTTCCAACTTTTGAGCCAGTTCCGATTTCCGGCTCCTCCGATTTCCGACACCTCTGACTGATCTGACACACCTCTGGTATTAACCAGTTAAAAATGCTTCAAATTACATAATTATAAAAAAAATTAATTGAAAAAGTCAATGAAAAAATAGAATAAAAGAAAAACAGGAGAATAGAAGTGAAGTATTTAAAGGGATAAACATTATTAAACATTAACAACAATTTTTTAAATGTTTCTTATGCTACGCTTACATAAAAATCGCGCGCGACACGCGACAGAAAAGATAATGGAAAAAGAGGAGAGAAAAGTCGCCGGCGATTTTGTCGCTTTTTTGAGTGCTTACATAAACCGCGACTTCCGCCGGCGACATGTCGCGCGCGATTTTGTCGCTTTTTTTGCGTGCTTACATAAAAAGCGACTTCCGCCGGCGACTTGTCGCGCGCGACTTTGTCGCTTTTTTGAGTGCTTACATAAACCGCGACTTCCGCCGGCGACATGTCGCCGGCGACACTTTTTTGAATCAAACATGTTTGAATTTTTGGCGACACTTTTTTGCGACATGCTATTTCTCAATCAATTCTGATCCGATTTTCAAACTTTAAAAAGATTCTGAAAGTTCAGTTTATTCTCTATCGATCAATATAAATTTTATATTTTTAAAGTTAAATCTTATGGGTTAAAATTGATTTTGAAAAAGGTATATTTTTTGCAAAAAATATTCTTTTTTTCGATATTTTTGAGATTTTCGAGATAAAAAAGTATTTATATCATAACTTTTTTATCAATAGGTCAAAAATTCTGATTTTTTGATATGTTGTAGAGCTTTTAATTCTCTAACAAATGATACCAAAAACATGAAAAAGTGACCATTTCTTGATGAGTAGGGCTCGTCCCATATAGTTAGGGACAAAAAATTTCGGGGAAAATCGAGGCTTCAAAAAATATTTTTACGACCTAGAGCTTTTAAAAAAATTTTCTTTTGGGCCCATTAAAAAGCCCATAAAATTTGCTACAATTTAGCCTTGGCTTTTATTCTTCCAACAAAAACTCGTGAAGATGAAGGTCCTTTGAAGTCTAATTTTTTGGCATTAATCTACAAAGTTTTAGATGGAAAATCATTTCTTTTTTTCGATATTTTTCGATATTTTTGTATTCCTTTCCTTTTTCTTCAAAAATTTAATATCAAAGTACGCAAATACACTAAATATTTTTCCCGGTTTCCCGGTGAAAAAAAGCCGGGACCGGGTCCCGGACCCGTTCCTAACTCTAATATCAATGGTACTCTGACTTATTACAGTACTCTGACTTCAACCAACGTGAAAAATAGAGATAAATAAATAAAGAAAATATAGAAGAAAAAGATAGAAAAAATAATAATTTTGTGCTTACATAAAAATCGCGCGCGATTTGCGACGTCGCTAGTCGACATGTCGCCTAGCGACGTCGCTGCTTTGTGCTTACATAAAAATAGCGTTTTGTCGCTTTTGCGTAAGTCGCCGATTTTATGTAAGCACACAACTAGCGACTGTCGCCGGCGACATGTCGCCTAGCGACTGTCGCGTGTCGCGCGCGATTTTTATGTAAGCGTAGCATTAGTTTGGTAAATCAAATAAAATTTTCGTTTTCGTCTTATTCTTCCATTTTTTGGATATCAATGAAATAAATTGCCGTAGCAGGCATATCTTCATTGAGAAATGAAAATCTCACTTTTGGATTGTAAATATTCGCAATTTGGTATTTTGTATATATTACATGTGGATAATCTGAATAATCATCAATTTCAACTTTTTCCGCTCTTTCACTTAACTTAAAATCAGGAAAATAAGATAAAAGAATTATTTTAGGCACTATATTTGAACAGTCTTTCGATGTTATTATATACTAGAATTTAAATTTATTTTTATTTATACATTTGTAAACGACTTACATCTATAATAAGATCATGAAGCTTTGCTAGTTCGTAACCGCCAACATAAATTTCTAGTATTTTATTGCCTTTATTTATTATAATATTGAATAAAATATTTATATGGTGATCTGTAATACTATCATCATCGTTTAAATTGATGTAAAGATTTTCAGAATTTGATAGATGATTTAAATAAAATTTCAAAATATTCTCATTTGGTTTGTTTCCAGCGTGTAATGCTACATTTTTAATATTAAATTGAAGTGGAATTGTTTTGTCATTATCAAATAATATATTGATCATTTTTGGATTAAATACTTTTTTATAAAAATTAGCACAACCAAAATCACATTTAAATAGTCGTTCTAACCAGTAACGAACAATAATCATTTCTTTAAGGTTCTTTGGGGAGTTTGGCAATTTTAAAATATAATAACTGGCCTCTTTGTCAGCTAGGTTCCGTGACTTTTGCGCCGAGAACATTTGCGCCGCGACTTATGCGCCGCGACTTTTGCGCCGCGACTTATGCGCCGAGCGATTTTTGCGCCGGGGGACTTTTGCGCCGCGACATTTGCGCCGGGCGACTTTTGCGCCGCCACTATCATTAAAAATATATCAATAACTACAGCCGGACCTCACTTTAGTAAGGTTGTCGAATAGTTGGAAATCTTCGGATCTGATATCCGAACTGAAAATTTAGGATATCCGGCATTCTTCGGATCCGGATTTTTTACACAATGGCGGCGCAAATGTCGCGGCGCATAAGTCGCCCGGCGCAAAAGTCGCGGCGCAAGAGTCGCGGCGCAAAAGTCGCCCAGCGCAAAAGTCGCGGCGCATAAGTCGCGGCGCAAATGTTCTCGGCGCAAAAGTCGCGATACCGTCAGCTAAATGAAATAAATTTAAAAAAAATTTTGGGTCAATTTGAGGTTAAAAATTATGGTCTAATTTGTGTATAGTAATTATTTAAAATTAATTATTACATTATAATTTTCTATATATATTTTTATAACCTGTCTTAGTCATACAAATAAATAATT